CTTGGTGGAGGTTCTGAAGAACACGTCCACAGCTTTCTTCTCAGTGTCGGACCTGCAACCCACACTGCCAAATCCCCCAGCGTAGGCAGGATTCCTTCCATCTTGCAACTAAGCAAGGTAGCGAGGCACTGGAATTTGACAAAATGGCTAGCTTAGCTGAAGCGGCTAAAGCTTGGAGTTCTTCTAAGGGTTCTTGCGTTGAGTCATTGAGTCATTGAGCATTGAGCTGGATTCTGGATTCAACTAGATTCCCCTGAATCTCAGCAGCAGTCCAATCAGCCTACTGGTTCTCATGACCCATGATTGGAAGCATTCTTTCGATTTGATCGGTGGAAGATGATGGCGCCTAAAAATGCAATAAGTTTGTTTGAACATGTGAAGGTTTGGATGGTTCTAGGCGTAATACGTTCAATTCATGATGACAAACAGATGTGAGCAACCACACATTGGAACAACTTCGTGCCACTGAGAGCTCGTTGGAAGCAGAGGAGAGGGCCTCGTGGAGGGATTGGCTGCTGGAACAGCTGCGGAAGTCCAAGAAGCAGCCGCTGCCTCACTGTCGGTGTTTTCGCGCCAACTGTCGGTCTCAGCTGTCCAGGAGATCGAAGATATTTTTTTGGCAACATAGACACAATAAGCTACTAGGAACACGTGCATCGCTACTAGGAGTAAGGGCCTTACTACTAGTAACAAGAAGCTAGTAGAAACCATGAGTAAATAGAAACAAGTGCCACGCTACTAGGAACAAGTGCCTTACTAGTAGTAACAGGAAGCTATTAGAAACAAGTGCCACGCTTTCATCTTTTCGATTCAAACCGACCCTTTGAACTTCGAACCGTTATGTAGGTTTAGCTCCAGCTTCGGACGCGCAAGGGCCTGTTCTACAATGTTTTGGAACACAAGTGAGCACAAGTGAGCCCAAAGCACTAAACAGGAGTCTCGAAGGTTGTTTTTGTGAAGGGTCAGAGTGGGCCTCTCTACAGTCTCAAAAGAAGCTGGCCTTGTAGAATGGAGAAAGGAACACATTAGATGCACCTCAAAGTTCTTTCAAACTGCAATTATATACCTCTCAAATCAACCAAACACCTGTCTCTTCAAGTTGTTGACGCTATCCTGCTTGAAAGCTGTCACAAATAGGCAAAACAACATTTTACCCAACTGTTTCACAAAAGGCTGTTGGATCGCTATTAGAAACAAGAAGCTACTAGGGCTCCTGGCCTTACTACTAGGAGCAAGAAGCTACTAGGGGCTCCTGGCATCGCTACTAGGAGCAAGGACGCTACTAGGGGCTCCTGACCTTAGTACTAGGAGCAAGAAGCTACTAAGTTGGAGGCCATCGCTAAGCTATGCCGATGCAGAGACCTCCTTGCAGGTGTCTCGTTCCAGAGGTTTCGCGCGTGGCTTCGGCCACGGCGGACTGCGGCTTGGACGGGCGGGCAGAGGACGCGAGGCTATGTTATTTGGTCAACATGAAGCATTTGGACTGTTTCTTTTTAAGTTGGTTTCTCAATTGGCATATGCTTTCTGTTCGCAAGAACAGTTGTAGGAATATTAGGCATACCTCTCACAAGGAGGAACCATCGATTCAATATGAATTCAAACGAGACAAAAGAGTTATGTCATCCACTGGCCCATCCAATACAATCCCTTCAATGATCCCTTCAATGCCGCTGTTCCTGACATGCATTGCTTCCCTCAAGCCCTTCAGGTCTTTTGGAGGCCATTGCTATTAGGTTGGAGGCCTCGCTATTAGGTTGGAGGCCATTGCTTCTAG